AATTTATTAGTAATCACTCTTCTTATTCTTATTAGGAATTTATGCCATAAAAAAAACACTTTTTGTGGGGGAGGGTGGCGAGTCCCCTTTTTGTCTGGCGAGTAGGGTTTTCCATAATTTGTCAACCCCTGCTTATAGCAGTATGATAAAAGCCACCGAGTGCCGCTCTGCCTATCACCATAAACCCGGCTGAAGGTAAAAGCCGATTGTGTAATTGGAAGACCTGCAAGTATTAACAGAGTGTTTTACTGAACTAAGCATTAAGCATTCTTCAAAGTGCATCCTGTGTACTGCATGATGTTATATGGAGATTGGTTATTGTCGTTTCTGGTGATTAGAAATTGGTGTAAATCAGGTGAGATAAAGTAGGAACCTCCCTTCCCCATCCCCAGAAATATTCATGTAAAACTTAAATCAACCCTAATTTAAAGTTTGAAAAAATAAGATGTTTGAAGGGGGGAAAAATTATGTTTATCTTCTACTTTTACCATCCTGATCACCAATTTATATTCCTGTGCACTACTGTCTACCAGAAGCAACGTGCCAATTACTTCATGGGAGTCTACGATTGTGTTATATCTAGGTCACTGGGAAGCTCAGAAGGAACATGCATGCACAAGGAAACTTAACCTTTTGATATTTCTAGTCTCATTATTACAGTCCCATGAGATCCAGCTAATTTGAAACTGAGGCCAAACAGCCAAATGTTCACCAGCACTGATGATAATGTTATGCAGGGGATGGGGCATTACACAACTCAAAGCAGATGGGCATCACAGTTACCTTCCATTCAGGCTAAATGAGGGGAAAAAATAGATACCCCTGTTTATAGTGATAGCTAAAATAATGGTAAATCACCGTCCAAGGAGTAGACCACATGGAAGCCTGGGCAGTATCAGGGCGATGAGGTCCATAGGGTTTCCTGGAAGACTGATAAACACAGGGGCACAAGATTAATTGGACTACAGCTATGATTGTGTGGGGGTAGGAGAGAAGCACCAAACATACTATAGAAGGCAACAAGAAAGCCAACCCACAGACAAACGTCTGTGACAAATGTCTCAGACACTTCGCCAAAGAATCAATGCCCACGAAACAGACATTAGACAGGATCACAAAGAAAAAACAGTTGCTTGCCATTTCAACCAGAAAGGACACTGTCTCAATGACCTTATCACATGCATCCTACACCAGAAGACTTTCAAATCTGCACTTGAAAGGGAATCCTCTGAACTGGCATTCATGCTAAAATTCGACACTCTCCAGGGGGGATTGAACAAAGACCCCAACTACCTTACCCATTACAAAGATAGCTTCCCCAATTATCACCTCTAATACCATTAGCTCACAGACATCTACCTTTCCCCACCTCTAATATCATTAACTCACAGACATTTACCTTCCTTCCTCCCCCCCTCCTCCTGCATCCCCTCTGTTCTGCCATGTGATTTGTCCTTTTCATATTTGTTCATTTTTTTTAATTGTATCCTTTGGTATATATGGTTGTGACTACTTTCTTCCACTATTTGATCTGAGGAAGTGGGTCTGGCCCACGAAAGCTCATCATCTAATAAACCATCTTGTTAGTCTTTAAAGTGCTACATAGTCCTGTATTTTGTTTCAACCCACAGACAAGCACCCTGATACAAGCTAAGAGAAAGAAATTAAATCATTGGCAGGAGAAGGACATCATCTCTGTCTCCTTTTAACACACAACCCCCTGAAAATCGGCTAGCCATTTGGGTGGAAAGGAGCAACAGTACATTACTGGCTGGCACGGTCTTCAAACATGTTTAAAACAGGTAGGGATTTTAAAAGGATGCTAAAGGTGAGCAACTCAAATTGAATTTTAATGCAATTTGAATACCTGACTCCCTTAGGCCCCTTCAAAAAGCTCAGACTTGATAACTGCCAGTTAATCCTCTGAGATTCACGATAGGTGAGGGAATATCTTTATTAGACTAACTTCTGATGGCAAAAGAAACAGACTTTTGATTTTTCACAGAGCTCTTCTCTTAATCCTCAACACAGCCAAGATTGAGGGTTCACATCACTGACTCAGCAGAATTACTTGCTACCTTTAAATGAAGATACATAAATAGAAAAACACCACACTCACAGTTTAGTCACAGGACATAAGTATTTAAATGATCTTTTTGAGAAGAGCAGTGGAGACAGAAGTGACAACTTAAAAAGTCATACCCACTAGCAAATTCTTTCTTGTTGCACCTCTGAGTACAGCTGTGTGAATAACCAATTGTTTTAGTTCACTGGCAAGTCCTTAAATAAAATCATGTTTGGTTGAAATGAAAATGAAATTTTTGGAAGTCAAAATAAAAAAAAATTGTCAAAATATAAAAATCTTTTAAAATGGCTGAAATTTTTAAAAAATTGTTTCAAGTGTAAACAAATGTTTCATTGAATCCAAAACTACTCACGTTTCAATTTCATCATCAATTCACAGACACTTACCTTCCTTCCTCCCCCTCCCCACCCCCCGCATCCCCCTTCTGTTCTGCAATGTGATTTGTCCTTTTCATATTTGTTCATTTTTTTAATTGTATCCTTTGGTATATATGGTTGTGACTACTTTCTTCCACTATTTGATCTGAGGAAGTGGGTCTGGCCCACGAAAGCTCATCATCTAATAAACCATCTTGTTAGTCTTTAAAGTGCTACATTGTCCTGCATTTTGTTTCAATTTCAGACATTTTAAAGGTTTTTATTTTAAAAAAATGCAATTGAAGAAAATTTTGAAGCAAAACATCAAACAAAAAATTGAAGCTTTTATTTTGAAAATGTAAAAATCAAAATATTTACACTTTTTTTGGAAATTTGGTTGTCCTCGCTCCACCACACATAATTTGGCAAAACAATACAAATTTGCAAAACACTTCTGTCACTGAATCTTCATTTTCCACTGAGTTCCAGAATTCTTCTGAATCTGTTTCAGAGCACTGAGAATCCTTTTCATTTTTCCGTATTAAGAGAATCTTTCACACTGAGTGTGAACAGACCTCCGTTTAGACCCTTAGCTGGGAAAACTCTTACACATACACACTCAACATTAGGCAGGTGCTTTTATGTTAGATAGGGATGGACTTAATCATATGACTAGGCCCTTCCGTAGTTGGGGCCTTAATCCTCAGGATTGATGTGGAGTAATTTGTTAGCCATAGGACCTACCTGTTACACAGCAGCAATGACTTTCCCTATCCGGGAAGGACAGCTGAGGGAAGCTCATGTAGGGCTGGACTTATTACTCTGAAAGAGGCCAGTCACCCTGTGACTGCTCTGTATACCCGGGAAATTGCTGTATACCTGGGAAACACCTTCCATTACTTGACAACAAAGCTCCAAAGGAGGCACATTCTACCCAGGCTGCCTCTGTCAATGGCAACCTGCCTCATGGTGGGGGAGGGGAGCTACCACTTGACCCGGTTTTCCCGAGATCGTCCCTCTTTGAGGTACCTGTCCTGAGCAATCTTTTAGGGCTCTCAGTGCACTTTGTTTGATGTCCAAGGGCTCAGTATCATCCAGGATCTCCAAGCTGTATGTGCCACTCAAGTGGCAACCCAATGCCCCCTTAAAGAGCTGGCTACAACATAGGGATTTCTGCAGGAAAAGTAATATCGCTCCATTAACAGAACTGCACAGAGACAGAAGAAATGGGCAAAGAATGGGAAAAGACAGATTTGTTGAACATACTTGATAAGTGTATTGGATGAATATATTTAAATTATTCACTAAGCATCCTAAAAATATGCCATGAATAATGTAGTCCAAGCGTAATATTCTTTGAATACAACTATTTGATGAAAATTATTCAAACAGCTCATTATACAGCTCCAGGAGAAAACACTGGCAGCAATGGGATGAGGTGGTGTGCGTTTACCTCAGCAGTTAATAATTGTTGCTTAAAGTAAACATTCTGACTTGAATTACAAATTTCTTCTCTCTGGTCCAGGTACCTTGCTAGAGTGAGGAGTGTAAAAACAAATTTGCCAAGATTTTTGAAAAAGGGTACATAAAGTTGGGCTCTTCGGTCCATATTTACCCTCCTAAATAAGTGACCTGCTGAGTACACATAAAATTCCATTGACACCAAATAGAACTGCTGTCTTCTCTGGACTTTTTTAGACCATCCTAAATAAGTGACCTGCTGAGAATTCCATTGACACCAAACAGAACTGCTGTCTTCTCTGGACTTTTTTAGACCACAGCTTCAAGTTGTATGCAGCAGGGGGAGTGGCCTCAGCAACAGATCTGAGATAGCAACCTTAGAGCTGGTTGGCAGCTAAATATGGAAATAAGAGCCATCTTTGAAAGTCTTGTTAGTCCTTTTGGAGAAACAAGTACTAATAATTAGGAAGCTCTAATATCTGAATCCAGGAATGGGCTGGATGTGTCCCGTTCATAGCTTTTGATGTGAAAATGTGAATGTCAAAAGCAAGGAAAATTGGCTTTGTAGTGTGTCAACCAGTTAATATCTTTATTCAAGCCCAGGGTGACAGTGTCAAATTTGTAAATGAATTCCAGGTCAGCAGTCTCTCTCTGTAATTGGGTAGTAAAATTCTTTTGTAGAAGAATGGCTACTTTTAAATCCATGAACCAACCCTTTTGAATCTCAGAGCTTCGGAGCAACTGCCCTGTTTGCCCTCTCCCTGCCCTCCCTCTGTGGCCTGTAAGCCTGCACATAGGGGATTAAGAAGGATGGGATCACGGGGCAGTTAACAATTAAGCCCTTAGAATAGCCTTCAGATCATGGAAGAAAGCTACAGTGTTTTGATCTGTAAGAGGGTGGCATTTCCATCAACAGATGTCTCTGAATACCATAATGTGTACAATTTAGGGTTGTTTTAACAGGTAAAGATGGGTAAAGATAAATGGAAGAGAATTAAACAGTAATAATTTTAATCTCACTAGATAAAACGACTGCTAATTAAGTGCTGAAACTACAAAATTCATCTATATTTTTATATGAAATACTTTTGGAGGAATTTGGTTTGTATTCACATAGGAGAACCAAAAATGTTAATGACTAACAAGGAACAGGACATGAATGGAATATAAATAATGTTTAATTTATTACATTTTCTAATATATTTCCAAAGACTTCATAATAAAATGTACATTTATTTTAATATGAATTTGAAAGACTTTGTTTTGACCGTTAATGTAGCCTTATATGAGGTCTTCATACATCATGCGCCTTTTTCACTGTGCATAGACCCACAATAAATATATCAGAGAAAAATTTTGAGATAGTACTGTTTTCACAGTTCAGTTATTTAAAATATAAAAATCCACAACTTTGAAAATGCATGTCAAAAATTATTATTTAGCACATTAATTAGCTGATTAATAATCTATGACCCAGTCCTGCAAATTCTTGAGTACACATGGAACTTATTCATGTACTTGAATATCTGTCTTCAGAAGTGAAACATATAAGTAGTTCCTTGTGTGCTGAAATGTTTGAGCACTAGGACCTACATAGTGTGAAATTAGACTCCTGGTATTTTCTGAAGTTTTATATATGTGACATCTGGTGCATTAGGGACACAAATAACCCTAATTTTAGTGAAAAGTAGGCCCCTAATTTTTCATTCCTTGCATTTTAAAATTTTGCCCTTATTTGTCTGATATGCACTGGAGAAAAAACACTACATTTTTTGAAAATACCTAACACTCTCAAAAATAAAAAAATTGAAATAAATGACACAGGAATTTGTGATCAAAGTGGCCTTTTCTATACTTAATAATTTATACCTTGCTAAGATATAATTTCTTCATTTAGAAGTGCATCAAAAAGAGTAGCACATGCTGCAATAAACTGGCCAGAAAAAAATACAAATTGTTTTTATATGGTATAAAGCATAAAAAACCCCTTCAATTACGTATACAAGTTAATGCCCCCTTGTATACGTATACAAGTTATAAAAATAATTTACAACACTATTAGAAGCTTCAAAATAGAAAGTGACAATATTCTCCCTGTGCAGAAGCCCAGTGCACCACTTAAACAGTCTGTTTTAAAAAAAAATAATTTTCTTAATTGGATATAAACAATGCACACATGGAAAATAGGACAGTTTTAGGCCTTGTCTATACAGGAAAGAGACTGGGTTTTTGTTTATTTTTTATAATTTACTCTAACTATACAAATATAGCTAACTTGAAAGAGTACATTCACATTGCATTGTGCCTCCCTTGGGAATCACAATGTCCACATAGCACTGTGTTTTTAAAATAAACACACAAGCTGTCTGAGCAGGTGTCTCAGTGTACAGTGTTCTGCTGCTAGGCTTAATACACTGTGGGTTGTTTATTAGTTTGGAGTGTGGAATGTCTACCAGAACCAACTGGAGTATTGGAACATGGGATTAAACTCTCTTGATTCCTTCCACTGTATCCCATAATTTGCCTGTTTTTCACTAGCCAACACCATTTCCAAACTGTTTCAGTTTCAAACACGTTTTCAAAGTGCTGTCAGGTAGCATGGAGTACAAACAGGATGCTTCATATGTATTGACTGCATAGGCAGATGGTGTTGTAGCTGATGGAAGATCACCAGCACTGTGACACCACATGGATGCTGCTAGAGCAAAAAGATAAAAATAAGCAGCAACTTCAGTCCAGCTTCTCATAACATGCACATGTGCGGGGGGCATTAACAGTAACCTTGAGTTTTGTAATTCTGCCACTGCTCCTTGGCTTTACTATCACACTTGCTCCTGTCCTGGGAATACCGGTCTCCTGCATTTGCTCTGTTAGTGGTTGGTAAATCTTGGCTTTTTGGTGTGTCCTGGAAAGGTAAGATTGAACGTACTCTTTTCCCTGGAAATCTAGGAATTCCTCAATTGCCTGATGCAACCGCATGGGGGTGCAGTGAACTCAGGGTCTGTGAACTTGCCATGAACCGGAGACACAGAAATGTGCTTGTGCATCTACCAGTATTTAAACAGAGATAGGGACACCCAGTCAAGATGCAGTCAGTGCTTAAAATGAGCTGAAAAACGTGTGTGGGTGTGGGGGGGAGGGGTGTCAATCATGATATGGGAGCAGCAGCTTTGGTAAAACTGCTTAAGGTGCCCTGGTCTTCAACAACTTAGCTCAGTTTTTAATATTTTCTTCCCCTTCCCCTCCGACTGAGGTCTGCACCCTTTACCCACCTTGCCCCACCTCCACTCCATCTATACTCTAAATACTGGATAAAAGGATAGTAGGGCAGTGCAAATATGTGATTTTTTTTAGTTTAGTGTCTGAACCATAAAGTCCAGGGGCAGGGGTCATTTCAGAATGAATAAAATGTTCTGCTTGAGGTTGTGGCTTGGGTTGGGTTTTGGGGGGTTTTTTGGCAACCATTTTAAATAAAACTGAGGTTAAATTCAAAATGCAAAATAATTTTGAATTAAAAAAACTGAAACATCTCATTCAAAAAAAATGTTGAAACAAAGTATTTTGATTATTTCAGATGTTTTTCTTCCAACCAAAATAATTCAGCAAATTCGGCATGAATTAGCAAAATGTTTCAGTTGATGCAAATCTGCATTTTTTACCAAAATAGAAGTTTCACCCACCTCTAATGGAGGGTGCACACACAAGCAGACTAACTAATCCAGATATGAAATAATGCAGTGTAGAGCAGCAGTGGGAGGACTCCCTGATGTGCCATAACTCTTTCAATATGAGAATATGTCCACACCAACCTTATGGTGGTATAACACATTCCGCAACAGAATGATGTCACTTCCAAAATGGGTTAATTACAGAGGGATAAGATGCATGATAATGCCCCCCAAATCATTTGAGTCTGGATGGGAGGCAGTTTCTGTCAAAAAACTAAAGATACACAAAAAAAAGTGTTCCCATGTAGACAAGGCCTTACTGAGGCAAACATTTTCCTCTCTCAGAGGCTAGTACAAGGGGCAACTGTGGTAATAAGTATCCCTCTTTAGAATAAGAAACTGTGAGGGAACAATTTTGGTTTTAGGATTTTTGGAAGCCAAAAAAGACTTGCTATTCTGGATATTGCTAATTATGGCTAAATGTACGTGCCAGGATATTTTGTGACTCAGAATGAAATGTGAGGTACTCATACTTTACCTGCTGCCATTACTGTGATCTGCGGATATGCAGGATCTCTGAGGAAGAGTCACTATCATGCTGTTTTCTAATGCAGTACATGGGGATACCTTAGAATTATCAGTACTTGTGGTAACACATTTAGGTTAGGGAAGCTGTGCCAGCAGTTCTTCCATCGCTGCCCACCAGATAATACTGGGTTTAGGCTGCGATATCATACAAGCATCTTGTAGATGCCCTGCCAAGCAGCAGCTTGACGTTAAATACTCCCACTGTTTTGTCGATTGCCATCCAGTCACCATAGGCGACTAACAAATCCTACCGCTTCTCTCACCCCCATTAAGGGATTGCTTTGGTCAAGGGGGTTCCCTGCTGCCAATGATGAGGACGACAGCTTGTTTGAAGATGGTTTCTTCTGCCTTGGACAAGTCAGCCTTGGTGATGAAAGTCAGTCTCTGGCAAACGCAGCAACAATGGGGGTGATTAACCTCAGCAGCCAGACTGGAGGACACTTCCACCAGAACGCTTTGTCACTGACAGCGTGGTGAATATCTAAGGGGAAGAAAGCAAGAACATTTTCAGTATACTGAAATGAATCCCAAGGAGGCTGGGACACTTAGATGTACAAGGAATAATGCTTCAACTATAGCATTCCTTACTCAAACTAGCATACTTTGTAATAGCAAACATTCATTTAACGTACTCATTAGTGCACGCCCCCCTTGTCACCACTTTTCTTAGGGTTTTTTCTTTTCATGGTCAAAAAGAAATGATCTAGGGAAAGTCATGTGGCTTTGTGCCACCTTTAATATGGTAAATTAAGGCATCATATTAATCAAATGTAATTCTGGAACCAATTCCAGCTCTAGATATCATGGATTAGAATTTACAGGAATTGTGATTACTAGGATCGGGATTGGAACTCCTGCTGGATATGTGGATATTATTCCAACACATGCACTGGGATTCTGAAGCCCAGGGCAAGACAACGATGGCTTTAAGCTAAATTTTGTGTCTGTGCAGTTCTGGAGCTAAAATGCCAACCAATGTAATTTAGAACAGCCCTTGAGGCTGCTCTAAACTTGGGCAGCATACCTTGGGGTTTCTATGTTTGTAGTACAAGCCAGAAAGGCCATAGGAATATGCACTATGGCCTCAACCGCAACTGCCCATGGCATATGGCTTGTCTGGGGAAGGGTCAGCGTAGGGAAACCTACAGTGGCCCAACACAGGCCTTCCAAGGAAGAAATTCTCACCCAGCATCTTGCCTGTTGAAGGCCAAGAACAACCTTGGCACTGGACAAGGTCTCCAGGAAACATGTGTTCCATTTCCTTATGTGACGTACTTTTCCTCTGTGACCTTGGGCAAGTCATTTAACTATTCTGTGCCTCAGTTTACAATTTTTTGCTTGTATATGTCCCTCTCTCAGACTTCTTGTCTGTTTTATTTATAAGATCAGCTCCATGGGACAGAGACTATCCCTTACTATGTGTTTACAGTGTGCCTAGCACATTGGGCCCCCTCCATGCTACAGTAATACAAATAAATTACATTGGTTGGCATTTTAGCTCCAGAACTGCACAGACACAAAATTTAGCTTAAAGACATCTTTGTCTTGCCCTGGGCGTCAGAATCCCAGTGTATGTGTTGGAATAAAAATAATTTACTTGGGGTGGGAGGTACACCACACATTTCAGGCTCTTTTTAACCATATCTTTGACCGAAGGAGTTCAAACCGTACCAAAACAAAATGAAAAATCCATGAGCACAAGTCTACTAATATAGTTCTCTTGGATACAAGCAACTCTAACATGATGTTGAAGGAAAAATATTCTCCATGTACATTGTAAAGGTTTTCTCCCCCGCCCCCAGAGAGTAGCCAAGAAACTTTTGTAGATCTAGTCTGCAAAGTGAAGATTCTTGTTGTATTCCTGACATATTAAAAATAAAGCTATTCAAGAGTGGTTTTTATTAAAATGAAAAATACTGAAATTCTAGAAGAAAAATACGTTGCATGAAATTTAACAAATTACCTCAGTTAGTAGTTGAGGTTTACTACACAATTGATGGTGTTGTTTTGCACATATATAATACAGGAAGGATTATGGAAAATCAAAACCACTTCTGTCTAAATGGTTCAAAGCTACAGTAATTAGCTGGCATCAAAGTCCTCTCTGAGGAAGAATAAACTGAGAACAGAACAGAGTATCTGCACATTTCAGCTATGCAAATAAGATCGAAATGTCTGCAGTTAATAGAGATCTGAAAGCCTTAAAGTTCAGTAAGTTGAAGCCTTGCTGAATACAGACGGCTAACAGCTCTTTTGAGAATAACAAATAAATTATACACAATTTCTTCTTTCCACAAGCAAGTAAAACAATACATGCCACAAAGAAATTCAGATGCATGCAAGAAACTACCTTAGTGTATGTATATTGAAAAGAAAGAGGAATTGTTTACGCTAAGGGACTGGGTTTGAAATAGGATTTTTAATGTGCATCTTAATTTTCATTTTTATTTTTCAAGTGGACTTTGATTGCACTGCATTGTCAAAGTCACTTTGATATGAAAATAAAGATTAAAATCTGCTACAGGTTGAACCTCTTTCTCCAGCACCTTTGGGTCCTGACTAGTGCCAAACCAGAAAATTTGCCAGACCACAGGAGGTCAATATTATCTAGCAGCATTATCAACACTTCCACTGCTTACTGGCCTCTTAAGAGGACATTTTGGGGTAATATGGAGTGAAATAATAGCACAGAACACAGAGCCAGGACTGGTGGTGGTAAACAAACTTTATGGGAAGGCAGTAAACTTGGCCAAATCCATGATAAGTAGACATCCTGCTAACTAAAATTATGCCGGACCACGAATGTTGCCAGACTAGAGTGTGCCACATTAGAGAGGTTCAACCTGTACCTTTCTCTCTTCCCTTCTTGGTCTTGACCCCAACTTCTGTGTGTATTGGCCCTCTCTAGTTGCTATGGGGCAAACCACCTGGGATCTATCTGAGAGTTTCTGGACACATGATTTTTCAGTTGAGAGCTTGTTAGCTGTTCAAGTGAAGACAAGGCTCTAGACGCAACAAATGGAAACTGCTCATTAGTGAACTAGCTGAGTCATGCCAGCTTTTAAAGGAAGATTTTTCCTGAATTGTAAACAACAACCTTTTAATCACTACAATTAAGTCTTAAAAAAACAAAAAACAGCTCTCACTAAGGTCCAGTTTCTGCCACCTGTATTCATGCTGAATAGCACTTGACTCTGCAAGCAGTCTCATTGATTTGAAGAGCCTGTTTTGTCGAGAAAGTGTAGCAAAATCTGGCTTTAATTTATAAAAGCAAATAAATTAAGCTCAATCCTGCCACTGTTACACATGCTAAATAGCACTCTACTTGTCAGAAGGCCATTTGTGAAATGAGGTACTACTGGAATCACTAAGGGTGGCAGTAACTTGGTACTAAATAAAGATGTGATACATCTGTGCAGGAAAACGATACTAATTTTCTTTTCCTATAGCATGTTTACAAATGTGTAACAGAGAAAGCATGCACTGAGGTCAATCATCACTTTGCTCTCATCCCAATGTACTCAGTACCTACAATTTTTTTTGGTTGGCTGAATAAAAGATGAGAAAGTTAGAGGAGCAAAAACGTTTTGAATGCTGGCACCACAAAATCATCAACAACCCTCTGGAGTTTTTAATTTGCATGTTCCTCCTCAGACGATTCGCTCCCCCACTCCTACCCAAATAAACATGATTAGCTGAAATTACCACACCAAATTATACCTAATCATTCTATTCATTTTCAATTTTAGCAGCTCAGATGTCCAAAATAAATTATGATTATCATTCTATCTTCACACTGCATATGCTAATACCCCATTTGAATTCACAGGTGTGAATACTCCCACTCAACCGTCTACCAGGAAAAGACCGACAATGAAATGAGAACTTGTGTTCCTTTCTTTGAGGGTTTGTAAGAACCCCATTCTAACATGTTACAGAGAAAGGAAACACGGTTGCTATGGATGCTTGAAAGGACTTCGGTATCTACAAGGGATACGAATGGTTAACCGGTAAAAGCATAACCCTTACCATGCTTACCGGTTTCGGTTAACCAGTGGGCTGGTGCAGCCCCCTACTCTGCAGGACCCACTGAAGGAGGGAAACATGGCCCAACATGCCAGGGGCAGGGTCACTCCAGCCTGGCCAAAGTAGATCCCTCCTGCATGGTCGCCCACTGCCCGCCCTCTAATTATTTTAAACATAAAATTTAAACAGTTAACGGATTGACCAGGATTTTACATCCCTAGTATCTGATACATTCACAAAGGCTGTCATCTTGCCTGCCTTCCAGAGTGCTGCAAACGCAACATACAAATAGCACAGTCAAATAGCACAGACAAGTGGACAGGGCTACTGTTGTAGACCTCTGGCATTCTACAATATTATAGCTTGTAGCTGAAATATGTACATAAGAACACAGATTCAGCTCACAACCCACTGACAGATTCAAGAGTTAAGATGGCTTAGGGCAGGGATCTCAAATTCAATTTATCTTAGTGCCAGCACGAGTCCTCAGATCCTCCTAGCGAGCCAGTGGGCAACCCCTCAGGCAGGAGTCCAGGGGAGGAGAGGGGCAAGGATCTCTGTGCACTCTTCCACCCACACATCCCCTGGCCCTGGCTGCCACCCCAACAATGTAAACTCTTCCCTTTCCCCTTCCTCGCTAGCATACCTGCCACCACCAGGAGCACAGCAGGGCTAGAGCAGCTTCCAGCGGCTAGCGCTGCACCACTGCTGGCACATCCCAGTGGCTCAAGGGAGGCATGTGCAGAGCGTCCCATCCATAGGATGGTCCAGGGTGACTGCCCCGAGCCCTGTGGTGGCTGCCCCCAACCATCCTATGGATGAGACAGTCCCCAATACTCAGCTTAGCCTGCAGGAGCCTGGGCAGGCTGGGACTGAGGAGGGGTCGGGTCCCCCAGCACACATTGAAATGGTAGCCAATGGAAAGCAGATCGACGCAGCAGCCTGCTCAGCCATCAATCTTCCAGGCCATGTCCCTCCGGGGAAGGAGCTTGAAGGAAGGGGTGCAATGGGTGGGGAGAAGGGGCAGAAAGAGGCAGGGAAGGGGCAGAGCTGGGGCTGGATTTGGGGGAAAGGTGCAAATACACACTCCTAGACCGCAGAGATTCATGCTGGCAGCTGCACGAGGGCCAAATTGTGGAACTGTATAGACCACAGATGGCCCGCAGGCCATGTGTTTGAGACCCCAGGCTTAGAGTATGTCTACCAGCAGTGAGACACCTACAGCTAGCCTGAGAGTAGATGCTCAAGTTTAAAGTGCAGCCCTGGTTCTTAGGTTCTAACGTCCAGTCTGCAATCTGAGACCAAACATCTACACTGTAATTAAACAGCTCTTTAGCCTGAACCCCATGAATGCAAGTCAGGTGGCAGAGGCCAGGCACAGATTTTTAACTGCAGTATGGACATACCCTTAGAGAAAATCTTTAGCTGGTATAAATAGGCATTGCACCAATGGAACATCCTTGACTTACACCAGCAAGTGGTTTTGCTTCTTTTCATGCTTCTACACATGAAAGTCAGACACATGAACTGAGTAAAGAAACTATCTCCAGTGAGACAAAATTTAAGAGAAAAATCATTAAGCATCTGATCTTTTGCTAGAATGCCAGTTTCTAGGCCTATTTTAAGTACTTAGCTTCATCTGAAATGTTAGCAGAAATAAATATTTGAAGAACATATAATAAATATTTGAACCCTTCAAATACAGATTTTAGAGTCAGGGTAGAAGAAGAATTCTCTACTCAGAGGAGACACTCCATCATGGCAGACCATGTTTAATTCTTTAACTATGTATGTTAAAAAAAAACCTTCTGGGTCTTTATATAAACAGACAAAACTTTAATGTCTGAAACTCCTGCTCATCCAAAATTCAAATAAAAAAACTTCTGTAGAAACCAATATTCATGTTTACGAACTAATTATTCAAGATCTCCAACATCTGCTCCTTAGATTCCAAAATAAAAGGCTGAGAGACAGATTCTCAGCTACAGCCAAATGTGCGTAGTGCAAGTTAGGGAACTTAAGAGTGGAAGTAGCTATGGGGAGGCTTTAATGGTCGCTCATACTATCCCTGATCCTGTTGACACTAGGTATAAGACTGGTCCCTGTGCATAGAAATAGAGCATCTTAGAGCTGCTTTGATCTATGATGGCTGTTAATGTCCCCAAGGTTGAGGATCAGGAAAGTGTGTGTGGGGGGGGGGGAGGGAAAACTTCTGATGGAGTACAGCAGGTCTAGGAACTCTTACATCATCATTCTTTCCCCTAATGTGCTGGCAGCAAGGAGGGTGATGCCTGCACTCCACTATCAAAAGACCCCTTTTTGCTGGCTGTAACAAAATGCCATAACCTGGTGATCCCCTGGTGCTAGCTTTAGAATCACATCATCTGGCATTGCAGTGCAAAGAGCCTGCACTGCGTTAAGAAACTCTAGCCTTGTGTATTTTTTTTTTTTGACACACCACACAATGACAGACTGCGAAAACTCTGACAACACATACACACCTCTGCACAAACTGGATGAATTCCTATTGTGTTGTCCAACTGCGCTTTTGTCAGTCCACATTTGATGGCTGCGGAAAACCCTTGGGTAACATCTCCAGCATTTGGACCAAGCACATGGAAACCGATAACTCGCTCCTAAATAAAGAAAATCAGGTAAAGCCTTATACATTGATTCTCTTCAGAGAGTCTCCAAGATGTTCATACTGCTAAAGATATTGCATTTAACTTTTACTCAGTTAAGTTTTCCCCTGACTTCAATGGGTTATTTAGGTAAGTGAAGAGAAACCTATGTGTATATTAAGCATATTGCAATATTAGGGCCAGTGTTAGGTGGTCTTTTACTGGGTGCTTGTTCTGAATCATCTCTATAAAAAATAAATTTTACAAATTCCCAGTTCAGCAGTTATTTAAATAGCAATAAGTGTAACAGCACAAGAAATGCTTATAAATAATTCTATTTAGTATTCTCGTTGGACTGGTGGGCAAATGATTCATGACAAGTAATGCATAGTCTGCGCAAAAGATCTTAAATGAAAAATATGGTTTATGGGTGCAATATCAGGTAACTAACCTGAGCCCCACCAGCCAAGCCAAAAGCCTGAAGACCTGCTGCCCAGGGCTGAAACTGAAGTCTGAGCCTTCCTCCCTCAGCTTTGTGTAGTGCGGGGCAGTTGTCTTGCTAGCTTCCCAGTGACAGGATGTACTGGCCCTGCACTGGAATGGGAGGGGCTAAAGCAATGCTCATAGCAGCAGAAGCTACACACCCCGATCCTGCTGGGCATGCTGCAATTGCTGCTGCTTTATACTGCAGCCAGTATAAATCTGTGCTGGCTGCCGAGAAGGAATGATGCACCTTGCCAGCGCCATCTGAGGAGCAGATAGGATCCCAGACTGCAGGAGCAGGAGATTCTGGAGGCCAGGAACTTGCAGACGCTCCAGGGAGTTTGCAGTCACCACTCAAAGAGCCCACTTCATCAGATGGGTCTTTCCCCACAAAAACTTATGCTCAAGTAAACCTATTAGTCTTTAAGGTTGTTTTAACTAGGATTGATATTGACTCTGGGCTATATCGAAGTTAAGTTAAGGGGTAAAACCTGTATCTATTTTCAATTTTCTTTTTTGGTGATGTGTTAAAGAGTTTCTGGTACAAATGAAAATATTGAAGGCACTGAATTTTCATCCTGGAAAACTTCCAACCCTACAGATATTCAAACTCCTTTACAGTTATCAGAACAATAAAATGTATACAAATTAAGGCCCCGATTCAAAGTCGACTTAAGTTAGTGACCGTCTTTCTGTGTACTTCGATAGAACTGGATCAGGCCCTGTAGCCTTAGTTATACCACAGGATCCGCACAGATGTAAAGGTGATTTCCCCCTCCCACTCCACCACCAAAAAAGAAAGGAGTCTAAATATTACAGTGATGGGCATTTCAGAAATGACACTATAAAGCAGGGGCAGGGAACCTCAGGTCTGAGGGCTGGATGCAACCCCTGGCTTGGGACCGGGGGCCAGATGCAGCCCCGGGCTTGCTTGGATCTGGCCCACAAGGCTCAGGGCCCCTCCCTGCATTGGGGAGCATGCGCTGGCACTCCAGCCTACCCAGATCCCCACCACAGAGCTGGAGCACACAAAATGTACTAGGCTGGGCCCCCATAGGCTTTGGTTTGTGAGGGGAATGTACGGAATGTCGTTCTTCTCATCTGGGGGCCACGTCAGTGAAGGGTTTTTTTTTTCCTTCATTTATGCAGCCCCCAACTGATTTTTCTGTGGGTCAGTGGCCTCCAACTCAAAAAAGGTTCCCCACCCCCTATGAAGTATGGGATCCTTAGAATTACTATAGGTAGATTAGACAACATGGATAAAAGTAGGTAGGTAAAGTAGATTTGATAGGCATTGCTAATTATCGGTTGCTAGCTGCCAATATCAACTAACAAAGATACTGTCATAGTAGAAAAAGTTCAAGGCAAGGGAGAACCTTGTTAATAATTAAAGTCCAACTCAGCTCTTACTAAACAGACCTTGCCCACTTACAGCTGGGAATACCGATTCTTCTCAATGGTTTATAATCCACTTAATGATTTAACAGATTGTGCTGGTGTCTGTAATAGTGAAGGTAGTTTTATCCTTACTACACACACCAGGTTAATCTTAGCATTATCATTTAAAATAAGATGTGTGAGGGCAAGACAGATCAATCATGTTACAGTCATCCCTAGGGTTCAAAACAAACCCATCGTTTTGTAAGGAGATGAAATTGGATGGGTTCTGTCTGACTTTGATATAAGGGAGCTGCATCTCCTCAAGGGAGACAGGAAGATTTTTTTTAAAGCATAAGAGCTATGTGGCATTACTAATAGTTTATTTACCTACTTTTGAAATAGAATGACCATTTCTAGACTCTAGTGATAGCTACCAATATTTTTCATCCTTATGGAAAACTGCTACGTACAAATGTCAGTCATGTTTGTTAAAGGGCCTTTTTTTCCTATTAAACAAAGTATCTGAGACAAATTAGAAATGTTTAATACAAAAGACAGAGTAGTAACCAACAGAAGGGTTTTTTTTAAACAAATGAGGAAAATGACTACTTATACTTTTCTGTGTGACCCCTAAAACAACCAGCTGATTCTGGTTTACCCAGGAGGGAAAAAATGCACTTACATTATCTTGAATATTGCAGATTATCTTTGCATAGCATTTGTTGTTGTCTCTAGATGGGACAGTCCACTCCAGTGGCCAGAAATAACTATGGTAAACCTAGAAATACAATACAAAGACAATAAACATATTTTATAAGTTTCTACTGCTAGAGTAGGTTTTTCAAAAATGCACAGCATTGAACTCTGTTCCCACTGAAGTCAATGGTAAGCTTTACTGCTGACTTCAGCTGAAGCAGAGTTAGGCTGATGGGGGGTATTTCTGAAATTCTCATTCTTATAGTTCTTGAAAATTAATACAAACTGCGATGCAATGCAAGCATAAAGTATTTACTAATATGATTATTTTAATTAACCATGCACACAACTTGGAATGCTTAAGGCATTAAGAGATACAATTTTGTTAACAAATGTATACGGGGAGGACAGAGTAGATACAAGGGAAAGGAATATCACAGTCCTGTGCTTGGGGACTGCACCTTCTCAGTCATCTGGGCTGCACATCAGCCTGAAGCGGGAGGCAGAATGGGCCATGATCCAGTCCCTCCTCTACAAGTGACTGAACTGCTGTCTGAACTATAAAAAGGGATCAGGTTTCCCCGTCCCCCTGAAGCTCTGGAGGTAGCTGCGCTTCGTAAGGCATAATCCCTCCAGGAGTTCTCTGTGGAGCAGTGCAGTTCTACCATCAGTTAACTGTAACTGAATTATAGATAAGAAGGGTTTTAAATCAACTGCATCTCACTAAGAAAAATTAAACATGTGCCGCTCAACAAATCAGGAGAGAGCTAGTTTAATGTTTTCCACATAAAGGTTCTAAGGCACTTCATATCCCCTATATTATAGGGTCAATATATAGAAAGAGGTCATCCAATACTGAAATTTAGCCATACCACGGGTGAAAGGCTGCTCAAGACCACCACTAAAAATATTTAGAAGACAAAGAAAAGGAGAATACCAGTGCAACTGAAGTGCTAAGGAAACTGTACTTATCCAAATTAGAATTCAGCTACATTACAAATTATATTGATATTCTAAATTTTCAAAAGAGTCTTCTAAAATTGCAAGTGCATTTTTCAGAATTAAGGGTCAAAGATTACACATTGTCTTTCGGGACTTACACAAATTAGGTGCTGTGAACATAAACTGAAGAGTGTGTAAATTAGAAATTCAACCATCTTTCAGTGGCCAGAAACAAGACCTCTTTAAAAATAAGGTGAGAGCCGCATGTCAAATATTCTTTTACCACACAGCTCTCAGGGTATAAAATCATGTTAGCTTTCCTCTAGTAAAAATTTGCTAATTTATAAATCAAGCCTTACATAATCATAACCTGCTCCCAAAGTGACAGCAATCCGAAGACACCATTCACTGACAGATTCTTGCAAAGATCTTTTTTCTACCTTGGGGTTTGTAGAATAGTTTATTGCTTTAGGGTCCAATCCTACAAATTCCTCCACGTGTTCAATTTTACTTCAATGAGCAAGAATGAGTCCTCAGCAGGACTACTTCAATGAGTCCTCAGCAGGACTACTTCTCTGAGTAAAATAAAGTATGTGGGTTTTGTACAATCAGGGCCATAGGGCTTATCTATACACACAGGGGTGCCAACAGCCTCCACAGCCCCTAGGCAAGGTGGGGAGGGATGGTTCTCAACTCCCAAAAGGGCCTCTGGAGGAAGGGGTGGAGCTGGGGGCAGCCAATGTTCCGCACTGCCTAGAGCACAGTGCACAAGCCTGCAACCCTCAGAGCCGCCCAGCGCAATGCTCCGGGCAGTGATTTAAAGGGTCTGGGACTCCAGCCCCAACTGCTGCAGTAGCAAGCGGCATCCAGAAGCCCTAGATCCCTTTCAATCACCAAGCCCTGGGGCAGTTGCCTCCCTTGCCCTCCCCACCAGCAAGTCTGCATACAAACATCTAGCATGCAGCAAGCTGAGATGTAAATCCACCTCTGAATAGCCTGCTACACTAAGTTTCCATGAGGCGCCTGCTGCCATTTCAAAGGGGATCAAAGTGCACTCAGGAACTAGTAGTGCATAGCAGCGGGGTCCACACTGGCAGTGGGTGGCAGGCTAGTGCGAGGCAGACTTACACCCCAGCTTGCCATGAACTAGGTGCACTAAAGTGATAGAAATGTAGCCGTGTTAGTCTGGTGTAGCTGAATCAAAAAACAGGACTATGCAGCACTTTAAAGACTAACAAGATGGTTTATTAGGTGATGAGCTTTCGTGGGCCAGACCCACTTCCTCAGATCAAATAGTGGAAGAAAATTGTCATGGCTAAGTTTGAATAAAAACTCTAATTATCTTACCTATTACAAAGATAGCTTCCCCAATTACCACCTCTAATATCATTAGCTCACAGACATTTACCCCCCCCCCCCCTTCCATCCCTCTTCTGTTCTGAAATTTGATTTGTCCTTTTCATATGTGTTCATTTTTTAAATTGTATCCTTTGGTATATATGGTTGATTGCATAGATAAATCCAAACAGTCTATCAGGGATAATAACCGTGGCAGAGGAGCATATGGCCAAATTTAGTGATTACAATATTTTAACTTTGGCTCTAAAAACCATTTGCTGCTTTTCAACACTGCTCTACTCACTGATCCCCTAATTATGTCTGTAGATTAAATTTTTACAAGTGTTTCATGCACAAGCCCTATTTGCCAACAAGAAACGCATCTGCAGCTAGGTTGACCAGAAGTGCTGATAAATGTTTACTCCAGGTTTTAGGGTCTAACCAAAGAGAGAAAAATATTCTTAGTATGCTGTTGTCCTTAAGGGTAGGTCTACAGAGCAAAGAAAAATCTGTACCTGGCCTGTGGCAGCTGACAGGGACTCACAGAGCTGTCTTTTGCTGTGCAAACTTCTGAGCTCAGGATGGAGGCCCAGCTGTGGGACCCTACCATCTTGCAGGGTCCTAAAGACTGAGTCTGGAAGTCTACTCAGCTATGAATCAGCCCTACAGCCTAAGCCCTGAGAGCTCGAGTTGGCTGGAATGGGCCAACTGTAGGTGTCTGCTTGCTGTGCAGACATACCCTCTATTGGAAAGAGGGAAGGACATTGAAATTTAATTTAGAAAACTTTCTTTTTGTTAAGAAAACAGAACGGAGCAGTTTACCTCAATATTTTCCTCCCCAAACTTCTCCAACGCTGTCTCTTCTGAGAAGCCACAGGCTCCATATTCCAGTGGAGTGAACACCGTGGTTGGAACATTCACATAATCACACTGTGTGGATTTAATGTATATTTTTTATGTCAGCATGTTCAGCATCATCAATATTCCAGTTATAAATCAGCACATTGTTAATATTTCAGATAGATTTGGAACACAGAAAGAAGACACGAAAATTTGTAACTCTGAGGGTGTTACTTTGAAAGCAACAGGGCCTAAGGAGGTGGCTCTAGAGACGTGGACTAAAAAGATCAGTATAATCATTTAAACTACATTGACGTTAACATGCATGGATAGGGCAGGAAGAGGAAATTCAGTGTCCCACTTTAAAATGTGGATTTCCATGTCAAGCTGAAGATAAATAGTAGGTTTGCAAACACCACTAAAATAAAATTTCTAACACTAAACATATAATGCACAGCAGCATCCAAACATTAGGCTATTTTTCACCTGTCTTGGTCTCAGATGATGAAGGAAAACCATTACTATAATTCTTGCTGGGGTATGATTAGAACTGCAGAGGGCACTATGTTTCTGATCCAGCACCACTAAAGCCAATAGGAGTTTTGCAATTGACTTCCATGGAGCAGAAGCAGGGTCTGTTTTTGTAGAATTCCAAGTACAGTAAATAACGTCACTTACCCCAGAGACAAGTATTCTCAGAATATTTCTGGGATTATAAAGTTACAGGACTGCAACTCTTATATTATACTGCCAAGTACAATAAGGAAATAGGCAGAACTGTAATAAAATAAGATTCCATTTCTTTTGTTGTACTGCGGAATTTTGGTCCAAATGTACCACTGATTTAGGGCTCCTCCCTCTGCCTCTTTTCACTGGCAAATCCCTGACTCTTACTTTCAGATAGGAAATGGTCATTTTTGCAAATGATTAGGGGTTCTTCTTAATGAATTTGCTTCCTGGTGGGGGAAATCATTAAAAAGATTCTGACGACTATTTTTCTCTCCCACTCCCCATGCCATACATACTTCTTTGTGCCCCATCAAATCACCCTTTTTAAGTCTTAGGAAATGAGTAGTACAAGCAAGGGCACTGTCTAATCTAACATCTAGTTTTCTGGAATTACTGGCAGTATAAGAATGTTAATTTATAAAATAGAGCAATCTGGCAGAAAACATAAACTAAGAAAAATTCCCTGTACTGCAATCCAAGATTTGGCACTTGTCATGGATTTATTAAAGTTTTTGCCTGGTTGAGGTAATGTCACTATGCTCATTGGTTCAGAGTTTTTTTATTGCACTATTAACCAACCTAAAATAAACAATCAAGTACCAAGACTGATATGAACCTGATATGAACACGGAAGTCTTCACAAGACAAAATCCTACCACACAGATTCAAGGATTATGGGGGTCACAACTTGTCTGGTCACTCAATCATGCATTTAAAATAGCCATTCTTCTAATCAATTACAGAGAGAGTCTGCAGAACTGGAATTCATCTGCGTATCCACATCAAAAGCTATGAATGGAACACATCCAGACTACTTAATTAGTCGCATTAAGACAGATCCTACAATTGACAGGTATGTCTTCTGCTGGTTTATATATATTTCCACTCCAATTCATCTGATGAGGTGGGTTTTACCCACAAAAGCTCATGATTATATATATTTTGTTTAGTCTCTAAGGCTATGTCTACACAGCAATATTATTTCAAAATAACTTAGTCCGCATCTACACAGCTGGAAGTTATTTCGAAATAATACTGAAATAATGTCAAGCTGGAAGACTTCTTCCTCTGACTCCTGTAACCCTCGTTTTATGAGGAATAAGGGAAGTTGGGGGAAGAGTGCTCTACTTTGAAATAAGTGCTGTATAGACAGCACCAAAACTCAAAATATGCTATTTTGAAATAAGTTACTCAATTGACATAGCTCAATTAGCGTAGCTTGTTTCTAGTTAAGCCCTGCTGTGTAGACACAGGTACCCGGGGGTCATACGAGTACCTCGATAGATGGAAAAGAACTTTGGGGCATATTTTCCTGTTTCATATACAATTATAAGGCCTGACTGAGCACTGTGTTACTGCTATATGATGCCAGAGTAACTCCACAGGTTTCAATAGAGTTACACTGATGTGAAATGGAAATACACAGTGGCGATCCAGGCCCAATAAGTGAAAGCATGTTGAGCCATGAACAAATTAGACCTTTCTTCTATACATATTTTAAAATTCTGAAGAACTTCCAGTTCTGTATTATGACAAAACAGGGATCTTATAAATATTAGCTCAAATAGCTCTGAGAACTAAAAGCATCACCTAGGCTCCTGAAATGCTTTTATAGTCTATTTAGGGACAATAAGCAGACTTATTACATTTTCCGTGAAAGAGTCATTTTAATGAAACTTTGGCTATTGCTGACTTTCACAAGATAGCATTAAAATTTAGTCAAAATGGACTCAGTTCATTTCCTTATTACATTCGGAAAGAAAATACCACTTGGTCTGATTTTTATCTTGTCTGTTATTGCATTCTTAAGGTATTAATTTTGTCTTGCACAAAAGGCAGAACATATCTTCAGGAATATCTTTGTAAAGGAGGGGAACTGAACAAAGCTAATGCTTAAAAAACATGCTGAGATTATATACAGGTTAGAACAACTATATACAGGTTAGAACAATAAACAGGAACAATGATAGTGCCTCATGATAATTGCTTGCTTACCTTTAAGGTTGCTTCAGCATAAAGCCTTCGAGCCAACAGTTTTCCTGCTTGGATTGCTACTGGTGTGAGCTCCAGCTTGCCCTCCAACACATCTCCAATGGCATAAATATAAGGCACGTTTGTTTGTTCCTCATCACTGACAGGAATTTTTCCTGATCTACAAATTAGATTAACAAGAGATGAGGCAATATAAGAGACTGGAGGAGTGAAATATTATTAACCTGTAAATAGTAAAGACCAAGCCTGTGTTACAGTTTTGAGCCAGAATTTACACTAGTACAAACCAGGTATCTCAAACCAAAGCTACAACAATGTACACACCCGATAAGGACCTGGGCTCTTGAAGCAATAGTCAGGCTTCTGAACTACAAAGTTATAAGGTGGGACCCAGATCCTCTTAACTCCCACCTCTAATAGCTGTGTTGGGTACAGAGATTCTCCAGGACCTGAAACAGGAGATTCTCCCACGCATGCTGTGGAGCAGAAGCAGAGTTTCTCTATTACTAATACTCCAAATTATTTGTAGAAGTTGCTACAGTGGCCCTATGCCCCAGTCTTTCCACTTTACTTGCCAGATATTCAATTTAAGCTTCTAGACCATCCCATTTAAAGGGCAACTAACGGAAAAAAAGCTGTATACGTTATATTTATCGAGTTATTAAAATATTAATAATTCACAGCTTGTTAAAAAGTAAATTGTGCAGCAGACATTGCAAGGAGGGGAAAAGGTAGATAACTAGGAATTCTGCACAGATGTTCATCTCATGGTAACAACCCACATTACTGACTGAAAAAATTATAGTGGGATCCACAGACTCTTATAGTAAGGTCATATCACATGTCCCATTGTAAAAATTCTAACTTTTTATTTAAGATCTCTACTATCCTCCATGACTTACACTGGGATTTTATAACGTGGTGGGGGGAAGGCCCTGGTGTCAGGGAACTGTCTTTTCTGTTCCCGTGAAAACAAATGGAGCCATGATAGCTGTAGAAAGACTCCCAACTGCAGTGTATCTCCTCAGCCATCTGGACCACTGTGAGCACATCAAAGCTGTCTTCTGCTCTATACGCTGGCTGCTCATAGGATACTGCATCAAGTTCTAAGCCAGGTATGGGGAACCTTTTTAGGTTGGGGACCACTGAGTCCACAGGAAAAAAAAAAATCAGTCAAGGGCCATACACAAAAGTGAGAAGCCCCTGGCTGAGAAGGAGAAAGACACTCCACACATTCCCCTTGCACACCAGAGCCTAGGGGGCACAGGCTAGAAGACTGTGTATGCTCCAGCCCTATGGGTGGGTGGCAGGCAGGTGGGGGGGGGGGCTGAAGCACCAGTATGAGGGGGATCCCTGAGCCTCGGGGGCCAGATCCAGGCAAGACAGGGGCCACTCCGGCCCCCGGGCTTGAGGGTCCCCACTACTGTTCTAAGCTATGGTCCTTCTCTTCAAGGCGCTCTAGGGCCTGATCCCAGACTATCTAAAGCTTCAGAATGAACACTATGGCCAACAATTCCATTCCTCTGACACAATATGCTCCCTAAAGCGAAGAAGAATCTTGTCTGTGCAACAGAGAGATTATTTGAGAGAGGCCGGTCCCAGTGGAATGAACTCTCCCAGGAACTAAGATCCATCATACACCTTACCACCTTCCACTTGAAGTGCAAAGTGCATTTCTTCTATCTTGCTTTCTCACTTAAGCATATAATAGCATGTTCATTAGAAAAGAAACAACATAACCCAATAAACAACCCCCTATTAAAATACTACAGTGTAGACACAGTTCCCTGTCCTCGTCCTCCCCCCTCCCCCAGCCCTGGGAGAAGATTCAGGAAAGAATGCACTATGTGATGCTAGTCAGACTACTTAATGCCCTGCTAGACAGCAGTGAGATACAATGGTGATAAGGGCAGTATAAGAACCTAAATAAAACAGACTAAGTCACCAAGTGCCAAGTTTGTCATTTTAGTGTATTTAGTAAAAGGTTGCTATATGCCATATAAATGAAACGGAAAGAAAAAGAAGGAAAGAAAAAATTAAATCTTTTATGACTTATCTAACTAATGTTGTGATAGTAAATCACATCAACACAACAAGAGCTTCAAAGAGGTTTGTCCTTACCTTTCATTGATCTTCACTCCAACTTTGTCTAAGCCAATTGTTCTTGTGCATGCATCCCTTCCTACTGCTAACAACACCTGAAAAAAATCAGTGCATATATTACTGATTTCCTAAGAGCATGGAAGGGCATTTACATACTTATGTTATTATACATTATTATTTATATTATAGTAGCAGTCAGAGGCCCAATCAGAATCCCACTGTGCAAAGCACTGCACAAACACCAAGTTAGAGCCAGTCCCTGCCTCTTCCATGAACTAATTGTGGCAGCTGATATTTTAAGCATTAAGCCCAATTAAACATCTTCCCTCAAGAAAACACACCCAAATGCAAATCAGATCCATCTGCGATACAGAAGTATTACAACACTTTAATCAAGGTGTGAGTCTGCAATAATTCTTTAATGAAAGATTTCCTTAATTAAGAAACTCAAAAGGCCATGGCAAATAAGAAGACTGCAAAACTCACGTCTTTTTCTTTTGGAGTGGGGACCCCAAACAGCCAAGTCTAGTATCACTTACCTATCTGTCCCCTAAGCAAGGTGACTGTCAAAGAGGACTTCTCCCCACATAAACATTTGTTTAGAACATTGGCCAGAACATCTATCCCTCCACATAGCCACCTCTTTGAGCATAGCAGACTCTGTAAAAAAGGACCCTCAGGTTCTGCAGTCATGGCTAAGGAGTTGCTTCAGCACTGCCTCATCCTGGCAGGGTGACTGGCACATCAGATCTGTAGTACTACTAGTTCCCACTGCTGCACAGATGGTTCAGCTATATTTAGCTCTCCTGCAGAGCCACTGATTACATTATTAATTGAACTGAGACACCAGCCCACTGATCCTAAATGGGATGACAGCACTAGGGGGGAAAGGTAAAGGAGACGGTCAGACGAGGGGTATAGGTGGTAGGAAATCAGCAACTTTCTACTTGAAGAAATGGCTCTGTTTTTGAGACCTGGGGCCTCCTATTAGTGTAAGTCAGATAAAAGGGTAGTGAGTAATGAATGTCACACAATACAATTATTAAAACATTCATATGGTAGGATCCCAAGGCTCCCGTTTGATATACTGAAATAAACAGTGGCTCTGTCCATACACTGTGGTAGACAAGTCTGTGCCCCCAAGCACTTCCAACCAATGGCCCTGATCTCACAAGGCTTAACTTTATGCACTATTAGTAGTCTCATTGACTTTGTGTACATAAGTCTTTTCAGGATCAGGGCCTAAGAAAATGAGGGGCATGCAAAAGATGAGGGGAAAAGGGCAACAATCAAATATATATAATACACACACACACACACACAAATAAATGTATTATTTTAGCTTTGGCATTACATAAAAAGTACATACCATCTCCCTAATTGCACTTCAGCCTAGCCATTAGACCCGAGTCCCCAAACTGTGAGGCATGTGGAGAAATTTTCTGGAGCATATAGTTGGGGGCCCAGGTCAGCCCCAAAAAGGGTTGAACCATCTACCTTCATGCGTGGCTCCAGCCCCGGCTGCTGGTCCCGTGTCTCACTGCTTGCCCCACGTCCAGGATCCCAGCTGCCAGTCCTGCACCCAAGGCTCTGCTCTCAGCCCCTCCTCTACCCCAGCTGTGGCCCAAGCCTCGGACCCTTTACTCTTGTCCATATCCTCCCCTCCTAAAGTTGTGACCCTGCTCCCAGCCCTGGGGAGGGCCAAGGACAGGAGAAAGGGGGGAGGACATGAAGTAAAATGATTGGAGACTACTGCATAAAGCGTTGGCTGATTTCAAGTAGCTATTTCACCAGTTGGTATTGAGAAGGGACCACCTTTATTTGTGTCTGGTTTTTATAGAGTCCATCTGCTATATGCTAAATCTTCAGTAGCATGCTGCAGCTGTGACAGAAGCCATTATGTCTCCTCCTTTGCCAACAGTTTACTGTGGGTAACTCCTTACAGCAAAATCTTGCCAATCGCTCCACACATGCAAGGCCCTGTACTTCCTAAAATCTAATGAGTAAAGTTTTCAAACCACTTAAGTGGCTCAGTAGCCTAAGTTCCCTTGAAAGTCAGAGGGACTTGTACTCTTATGTCATGTAAGTGCTTTTGGAAATGTTGCTGATTATCTGATGGAGATGTACAAGAAACGCATCTTGACATTAAATAACGAAAGCCACTTCACTATCTGGAAGATCTCTCTAGCAGCACAAAATGTTAACGTTCATTGAAAGGTTTTTTTCATGGGTTTCTTTATAGATGTGAAGACACCATTATGAATTACTTACAGTGTTGTATTCCCCTTCAATTATTTCCTTGCCATCTGTGGACTGGGCTATGACTTTCAATTTCCCAGGAGTTCCCGCCTCAATCTGTTCGACCTACAATATTAAAAAAATGAAGCTTTCAATTCAAAATGGAGAAATTCAGAAGTAAAATAGTAAGGCTGCAGCTGTTTTCAGCCTAGCATAACAGAACAAGACAGAAATATTGTATATAGTTGCAGCTATAACTGCACTGAGAACAATCCTATGGATATGTCAAAAGCAAAATATATCACAATCTTTTCCATGGCACTTTCCTTCCTTTGATAAATACACAGGAGTGCTCTCACCAAATGGGAACTAATGTTTTATCAAACAAAAGTAAAGAAAATACTTTAAATCTACTTAGACTGCAAATTCATGCAATCAGTTCTCTGTAGCATGACCCCTCCTTTTCACTCTGAGCCACGTGAATGAGACTGTGTTTTGGCCTCCTAAGGTACGATCTTGTCCTCTGCTTTCCATGCTGCTTCTTGTCTGGGGCGGTGTCACCGGAGTATAAAACACAATCTAGCCCTTTTCAAATAAGTTAAATAGAGTATGAAGTTTTCCGGAACAGTTTTAGTGCATAACTACCTAGCAAGCCAGAACAATAAACTATAATAACTGCACTAGTGATTACATTATATTCCAGTACTGAGATATAGAAAATGCAATCTTTTCCTAACAGTTCTTAAAATCCTTGTGCCACTGGACCCATTTTACAGGTTGCTGTACACTGAATCAGCAGAGTGTTATTTAGGGTGATGCATCTGCTGTCTCACATCATTCAACACGAGGCTTGGTACTAAATGGAACTTCAAACAGCACCCAAAACAAAACAAAAAAAAAAGAAAAAGAAAAACAAGGAAGATGGCTTCTGAAAGTGTGCCCAGCCAGCTGAGACTTAACATTAAGGAATATTCCTGGATGAATACAGGGCTGAATCACTAATGTTAAGGGCAAGATAGCAAAGACAGAGTATGAAGCAGGCAAAAATATATTCTGCATGTAATATAACCCTGCAGTGTGCTGGGTACTTGTAAATTGCTGAGCCTCCTCGGCTCCTGCTGAGCTCAATGGGAGTGGAGAGTACTCAGCACTTTATGAGAAACCATGTAGAATGAGATCTAATAAAAACTGTTGCACTAAATTTAGAGCAATTAGAAGCTAAATATTCATCTCTCTCATATGTGTATAGAATGCTACAATCTATGTCTGTATGAAAACATAAATTTCCCTGCTATTTCCACCCTGACCTTTCAAGATACATCTCTTCCCTTTTATGAGAACAGGGTGAGTTTACACAAAAGAAAGTGGCAAGCCCCCCTTTCCCTCACTTTTTAAGGCTACCCCAGGTGCGCTAAGAGCAAAAAGAATGAAATGCGTTTTATTTAATTTTTAATCTTTAAACACCTAAAATGTTATAATGTATTTGCTTGATACCTAATGCAAGCTGTTTTGTCATTTCTTTCTCGTTTTATAATCCTAATCAATAAATCCTAAATCAATAAGAAAAATGCTTTTAAGCTGGACTTTGATAGTAACTTTACATAAAGAACAAAAAAGCTGTGTACGTAGGGTTCTTTTTTATGGCCTTAATTCATCAAAGAATATGCTTAACTTTAACAGGCTTGCTCGTATGCATAAAATCAAAGTTAAGTATGTGCTTCAGTACTGGGCCAAATTAGGCTTTTTTGTTGCCTTATTATCTCTAGGTATGTCTACACTACCACCCTAGTTCGAACTAGGGTGGTAATGTAGGCAACCGGAGTTGCAAATGAAGCCCGGGATTTAAATATCATTCCATCTCTGTGCCGCATGTAGCCACGCGGCACGGAGTCCGCACTAGCGGACCTTTAAAAATGACGGCGCCCGGCTTTATGCAAATGAAACCCGGGAAATTCAGATCCCGGGCTTCATTTGCAACTCTGGTTGCCTACATTACCACCCTAGTTCGAACTAGGGTGGTAGTGTAGACATACCCTCTTACTGTAAAGATACAATGGTAGGCCCCAGTCTTGAACTGGGATCTGATGGTGTAGATCCCAATGTCCATGCATAGTCCCGTTAAAGCCTCAGGTATAAGAGTCCATGTTTAGGGGTCCCTACCCTGAAAACAACTTAGGATGTCAATGTGTAGACGACTACACGATTAACAGATAAGCCTGGGTTTATGGGTTAATCTTGTTGACTACATACAGAGACACTGTGCTGAGGGAGGGAGTGTATCAGAGGCAGCAGTGCAGGGCAGCAGAGGAGCCGGTCTCATGCCTGTCACCTTGCGCTGCTGCCTCTAATAGAGAGGCATAAGAACGGCCACACTGGGTCAGACCAACAGTCCATCTAGCCCAGTATCCTGTCTGCCGACAGTGGCCGATGCCAGATGCCCCAGAGGGAGGGAATACAACAGGTAATCCTCACATGATCCCTCCCATCACCCAGCAGCACAGTGTGGCAGGGGGCTCCCCAAGAGTGGGGCCAGGAGCACACTGGCTGCCACCCCTGCCTCTAGAGACTATCAAATAGTCGTGTAACCACTAAAATTTCATACAGTTACATGACTATTCAATTACACACTAACATCCCTAACAAACACTACATGTGAGCAAGGATACGCACATGTGTAATTATTTGCACAGTTGAGGACTAAGACCTCAAAGTGACTGGTATTTGATTTTTTTACACTATTTTAAAAAATATAATCAGATAAACCTTCTTCTTTTTACTGTACAGTAAAAAGATTTTTTTTCCGTCTTGCAAATTTAAGGCATTATACTATAAATACTTACTAGTAGTTCCATACTTAATAGTTACTATCAAAGGATATCTCCTTTGATTCTAGTGGGTAGTAAGCATTAGGTACCACAATGAGCATTTGCAGGTTCAGGAATGCTACAAACTGAAAATGGCATTGGCCCCAGATGTGCAAAAACTTATGCATATGCTTAACTTTGAGCATGTGAACAATGCCACTAACTTCACTGGAACTATACCTGTACTCAGAATTAAGTATGTGAATTAAATGTTTTCAGGATCAGGACCTTAGTTTCCAATAGCATTTTTGACATGGGAGCCTAGAGAATCTAGTTCTTATAAAGAATTTTAATACCTCACACAATTTAAAGAATAAAATTAGTTTATAGAAATGAGTCAGTTAACAAGGCAATAAAAATTAACTGTTTTAGTAAATCCAATAATATGGTTTCAACTTTTTGTCACTTAAGATAGGCAATTCATGTTTCCTAAAACACTCTGAAGATTGCTTTCACTGACATTTATGTACAATTTTCAAATATTCCAATGAAAAGCTTACCTTGGTTGGCACAAACTGTTTAATAAACTTGATTCCATGTTCTTCCATGTGTTCCCCAATTTTGTTTGCCATTTCCTGATCAAACCCTCTTAAAAGGATGGATCGAACCATTACAGTTACGTCCAAACCAAGACCTGCAAGAAATCCAGCACATTCAAGGGCAACATAGGAAGCTCCAACCACCAAGGTCTTTCCTGGGCAGTAAGGCAGAGAGAAGAGATCATCACTGAAAAAAATAAAAGACATTAAATTAGATAGACTATTTAATACAGCGCCTTACAATTGACAGCTATTTTTCTACAGGTTGCACCTCTATAAACTGGAACTCTCTGGTCCAGCAATATGAATGTTTCAGGATCAGAAAGTCCCAGCGGGATGCGGGGGAGGAAGGGCATGACATGCAGCCCAGCTCAGCCACGGGGGATGGCAGGAGCCAGGAAGCCAAGAGCTTGTCTTAGCTGGGCTGCAGAGGGGAGGGAGTGGGGAGCCAGGAAGCCTGTGGGGAGGGGGCAGCAACAGAGGGACCAGGAATGACCTCCTCTGACCAACAAAATCCCTTGTCCAGGACCAGTTAGGTCCCAAGATTACTGGACCAAAGAGGTCCAACCTGCATAGCAGAAATAGGAAATCTTTAAAACTAGGAATACGCTATATACACAATTGGAATCTAAGGTCACTACATGACAGAGAAGTTTTAATAAGGAGCATAAAAAATGAGTGTCGACTACTCTACCTTGCGTCTCAGTTTGTCCAAATTACCAAAAAAAATTATGGATTGTTTATAAATAGGGAAGCAGCCAAAAGGGGATTTTGTCTGGGAAAAATCCAAGAGGAGCTCAGATAAGTGTGGCTTTTGGGGGGCTGTGTTGTAAGCTGTTGGGGTCAGTATCCAAGTGTCTGTCTGATTATTTCTTTAAACATGTGTTTGGCAGTTTGAAAAGAGCAGCAGTTTGAAAAGCATGAATTGGGAGTGCTTTGTTCCAGGTGGGCCTTCAGCGGCTGATTGGATTAGAGGCAAGGCTTTGAGGCGGGCCTAGCCAGCAGCCTAATAAAAAAAAGCAGCCAGGGTGAACAGAGTGAGCAGTGAACAGGGCAGCAACCAATATGGGAGTCTGCCCAGGAGTTCACCTTGGGAGGCGGGGGGGCCCCCCTCAGTGTTTTTTTTCTTGCTTTTTGTTCTCTTCTTTTTTCCTCTCTCTCTCCTCCCCTTCAAGCTTCAGGGGGTAATCAAAATAACATCTGAGGAGTCTCTCAGAAGGAAGACAGAATGGATAGTGAAAGGTCAGCTGTTGTGACCTGCACAGCATGTGCCATGTTTGTCTTCCTCCTGGAAGATAGAAGGGATTTCATCTGTACTAAGCGCAAGTTGGTCTCCATATTGGAAGAGAAGGTTAAAGGACTAGAGGCCCAAATATCAACCCTACATTCCATCAGAGAAGATGAAGACTTTCTGGATAAAAGGCAGTATTTGATACTGCAGGCACAGCAGGCTGAAGAACCAGTGAGGGCAGTACAGAATAGGGAAGAAAATTGGCCGCCCATAACCTCCAGGAGAAGAAAGGCAACTGAAGTATCCTCAAACCCAATAGTGGTAAGTAACCGCTTTCAGGATCTGTACACAGGCACTACGGTGCAGAATGCTTTGGCAGAGACTCTGAGGAAAGGGATCAGAAGACGACCCCCATCAACCAGAAGGCATGGGATACATAGTCCTAAGGATGGGGGTTCCACGACCACCACTCCCAAGAGAAGATGACAAGCAGTGGCGTTTGGGGACTCCCTCCTAAGGAGGATGGGGTCATCCATCTGCTGTCCAGTCCAGGAATCTTGAGAAGCATGCTGCTTGCCTGAAACTAGAATTCAGGATGTGACTAAGAGTCTTCCGAGACTGATCAAACCTTTGGATTGCTACCCCTTCCTACTTCTCCATGTAGGAACTAATGATACTGCCAAGAATGACCTTGAGCAGGTCACTGAAGATTATGTAGTGCTGGGAAGAAGGATCAAGGAGTTTGAAGTGCAAGTGGTGTTCTTGTCCATCCTCCCTGTTGAAGGAAAAGGTCCAGGTAGGGATAGTCGAATCTTGGAAGTAAATTTGTGGTTGGCTTTGGTTTGCTTGACCATGGGATGCTGATCTGGGCAAAAGGATTGCTAGGAAGAAATGGGATCCACCTAACGAAGAGAGGGAAAAGTGTCTTTGCAGACAGGCTTGCCAACACACTGACAAAGGTTAATTGGGAGACGGTGACCTAAGCCCTGAGGTAAGTGGGGAAGTGGGATACTGGAAAGAAACATAAGGAGGAAGGTGCAACAGAGGAGGATCCCTGATTTCTACAGAGAAGTTAGGACAATCAACTAGTTATCTAAGGAGTCTGTACACAAATGCAAGAAACCTGGGAAACAAGCAAGATGAATCACAACTCCTGGCACAGTCAAAGAACTATAATTTGATTGGAATAACGGAGGTGGATGAGGTCATGGTTCTCATGGGGGACTTTAATCACACTGTAATCTGTTGGGAGACCAATACAGCAGTACATAGACAATCCAGGAAGTTTTAGGAGAATGTTGGGGATAACTTCCTGGTACAAGTGCTGAAGGAACCAACCAAGGACCATGCACAGCTTGACCTGCTGCTCACAAACAGAGAGGAACTAGTAGGAGAAGTAGATGTGGGTGGCAACCTGGGAAGCAGTGATCGTGAGATGATCAAGTTCAGGATCCTGACAAAAGAAAGAAAGGAGAACAGAAAGATACATGCCCTGGACTTCAGAAAAGCAGACTATGACTCCCTCAGAGAACTAATGGGCAAGATCCCCTGGGATGCTAACATGAGGAGGAAAGGAGTCCGAGAGCTGGCAGTATTTTAAAGAAGTCTTATTGAAAACACAGGACCAACCATCCCGATGCGCAGTAAGAAAAGCAAATATGGTAGGCAACCATCTTGGCTTAGCATTGAAATCCTTGGTGAGCTTAAACACAAAAAGGAAGCTTACAAGAAGTGGAAACTTGGACAGATGACTAGGAAGGAGTATAAATATAAAGCTCAAGAATGCAGGAGTATAATCAGGAAGGCCAAAGCGCAACTGGAATTGCAGCTAGCAAGGGATGTGAAGGGTAACAAGAAATGTTTCTACAAGTATATTAGCAATAAGAGGGTGAGCAGGAGAAGTGTGGGACCCTTACTGGATGAGGGAGGTAACCTAGTGACAAATGATTTGGGAAAAGCTGAAGTACTCGATGCTTTTTTTGCCTCTTTCTTCGCAGACAAGGTCAATTCCCAGACTGTTGCACTAGGCAACACAGTATGGTAAGGAGGTGGGCAGCCCTCGGTAGAGAAAGTAGAGATTAAGAACATACACAAATCCATGGGTCCGGATTTAATATATCCGAGGGTACTGAGGGAGTTAGCAAATGTCACTGCAGAGCCTTTGACCATTATCTTTGAAAACTCATGGAGATTGGGAGAGATCTCCTAAGATTGGAAAAAGGCAAATGTAGTGCTCATCTTTAAAAAAAGGAAGGACAATCCAGGAAACTACAGACCTGTCAGCCTCACTTCAGTCCCCAGAAAAATCATGGACGGGATCCTCAAGGAATACATTTTGAAGCACTTGGAAGAGGGGAAGTGATCAGGAACAGTCAACATGGATTGACCAAGGGCAAGTCATGCCAGACCAACCCAATTGCCTTCTATGACAAGGTAACTGGCTCCGTGGGGATGGGGAAGTTGGTGATTGTGAGCACAGCTTTTGATACAGTCTCCCACAATATACTTGCCAGCAAGTTAAGGAAGTGTGGATTGGATAAATGGACTGTAAGGTGGACAGAAAGCTGACTAGATTGTCGGGCTCAACAGGTAGTGATCCAAAGCTCAATGTCTGGATGGCAGTTGGTTTCAAGCAGGACACCCCAAAGATTGGTTTTGTTCAACATCTTTATTAATGGCTTTCATGAGGGGATGGACTGCACCCTCAGCAAGTTTGTGGATGACACTAAGCTGGGGGGGAGGCAGATATGTTGGAGGGCAGAGACAAGGTCTAGAGTGACCTAGACAAATTAGAGGATTGGCCCAAAAGAAATCTGATGAGGTTCAACAAGGACAAGTGCAGAGTCCTAAACTTGGAACAGAAGAATCCCAAGCATTGTTACAAGATGGGGACTGACTGGTTAAGCAGCAATTCAGCAGAAAAAGACCTGGGGATTATAGTGGATGAGAACCTGGATATGAGTCAGTGTGCCCTTCTAGCCAAGAAGGCTAATGGCATATTAGTTTGCATCTGGAATAGCATTTCCAGAAGATCTAGAGAAGAGATTATTTCTCTTTATTTGCCACTGGTGAGGCCACATCTGGAGTACTTTGTCCAGTTCTGCTACGCGGCCTCCTCTCCCACCCCCACTACAGAAAGGAAGTGGATTAATTGGAGAGGGTCCAGCGAAGGGCAACCAAAATGATTAGTGGGTAGGAGCACATGACCTACGAGGAGAGGCTGAAGGATTTGGGCTTATTTAGTCTGCAGAAGAGAAGAGTGAGGGGGGATTTGACAGCAACCTTCAACTTCCTGAAGGGAGGCTCCAAAAAGAGGATATAGAAAGGCTGTTCATAGTAGTGACAGAATGAGGGGCAATGGTCTCAAGTCGAAGTGGGGAGGTCTAGGTTGGATATTAGGAAAAACTGGGAGGGTGGCGAAGCACTGGAATGGATTATCTAGGGAGGTGGTGGAAACTCTTTTCCTAGAAGTTTTTAAGTCCCGGCTTGATGAAGTTCTGTCTGGGATGATTTAGTTAGGGTTGGTCCTGCTTTGAGAAGGGGGCTGGACTCAACGACTTCCTGAGGTCTCTTCCAGCTCTAGCATTCTATGATTCTACTATAAAGTATGGGCAACTACACAGATTTAGTGCCTGCTTTTCTTCTATTTGAATCTCATTGCAGATGGAATGCAGGGGCTGAGCAGGACTCACCCTGAAAAAGCTACTGTGGAAGAAAACAGAATGTGATCAGGTAATTAAAATATGTATCATAACGCATGCACAAAAGGGGACTGAAGGGAGTTTGACAGGCAAACTATTCCGGCATTTCCTAACTTCTAAGTGCTTGCTTGACTTTGTAATTTTAATATTCTTTTAACAGATTTGTGTGTGTAATACTATTGTATACTGGAAAATTTACCTGGCATTGCCTGGATTCTTAACTCAATTAATTTTTGTTTTTCTTTATATAAATCATTGTGGGTCTGGGGATGAGGGGTTCAGTACATACGCTACCCTGGGATAGGATTATCCCAGCCCCCTCTCATCACAGCAGCTTGGGGCCAGGTGAAAAGAGCCTCTCCATGGCTGTTGCAGCCCCAGTGGATGCAGCCAGGTGAGGGGTACATGTTCACCATCTGGGGCAGGTACAGGTTCATCTGCCTCCTGCACTTCCCAGGAAGAATGAGGAATGCAGCAAATTGTGCACTTTCCCTTTGATCCCTGATGCAGGGGAACAGCCAGTAACATCCCTATACAAAGCCCCCTAAAGGGTACCTGGAGATGGAAGGCTCGGGGCTGAGGCAGTCCCAGATGTGGGGAAAGGTGCAGCCCCAACCATACCCTTTCACTTGCCTAGTCATTCTGTCTCTTTTCTTTATGGTTTTATGAGAAGCAATCCCATTTCAGGCACATCCAATTTTCCTGGCACAACCAAACCCTGACCTTACTTTAAGTGATAATATAAGGAAGCTGTAGACTAAATTTGGCAGTCCTACCTCTTACCATTTAGAAGGAGTTCTTGAACAAAAAGGCAGACACACAGATAGTTGGTCACAGAGACGGACAGAGATAGACTTTAAGGTCAGAAGGGACCATTATGATCATCTAGTCTGACCCCCTGCACAGTGCAGGCCACAAAATCTCACCCACCCCTCTTAGAATAATCCTCTCACCTATGTCTCAGATATTGAAGCCTTCAAATACTTTGAAGACCCCAAGATGCAGAGAATCCTCCAGCTGTGATCTGTGCCCCAGGCTACAGAGGAAGGCGAAAAACCTCCAGGGTCTCTGCCAATCTACCCTGGAGGAAAATTCCTTCCCGACCCCAAATATGGCGATCAGCTAAACCCTGAGCATGTGGGCAAGACTCACCAGCCAGACACCCTATAAAGTTCTCTATAGACAGACTCTCACAAATATATAGTGGATAAAGGCTATTTCCAATATCACTACTTCCTGTTAGTAAAGAAGTGTGAAATTTGGCTGATTCCACACATAAGAGTTCATTCAAATCTCTTTGGTTTGCATGCCCAAAACTTTTGCCTTTGGTTCTATGCTCCAACGAACCTAAAAGCTTAACTCATTTGAAACCACTGCCTTTCACCGGGATATGAGTTTACACCATGCAAAGCCACAAGTTTCGAAAGGCTTTCAGAGTCATATCGGTGCACCTTTACTCAAAGGATTCAGGACATTTCTTGAATTTCTGTGGGAACCTGGGCTGAGTTTCAAGGTTGTAACACGACAAGAAAATAGGCAAATGTCATGTGGTTTCACATTTCTTGGATCAACAGTACTTCATCTCACTGCATACAGACTGCAGACTTGCAGAAGTGAAAATGCTTTCAAACTCAGGATTTCCTCACTTGTGCAGAGGCTTCCTCAAAGTGTACAAAAGGCTTCAACTTTGAGCATGTAAATAGTGCTACTAATTTCACTGGAACTATTCACGTACAACCCACTACACTTGTACTGACCTAGGTGCAGGTTAACAGGGCAGAAAACGAGTATGATGGGATGGAGATGGGCCCGATAAATTAATACCAAGTCTGGCTCTCAACTACTGCTACTGTCACCTCGTAATAGTTACCAAAGAAACAAACATGTCTCATAGCTAAGTGCTCAGAACCTGAGCCTGGTGTTCTTGCTGGTCCATTACTCTGCCATGACCATTCTCCTCCATTTGTGTTACATTACAGGACCATGAGTAATGAAGCACCATGCTCAGCAGCCCTACTCTCTTCAAACCTGCAGAACTGGTATCATAGGACACCATTTCAAAATAGGCAAATT